ATTTTTTTTTTTTGCATTTGATTAAAACTCTCCTGATTAGAACAACTTTCTGATAACATCACGGTCAAATTTTTCGGTCTGCTTGATTAACGTGTCCTTAGTATTGATGGATATGATTTCTATGATAATTCATATGTGTCCCACCCACAAAGGACTATTCATTTGAATAAATAAGTCTAATGTAAGCAATAGTATATAAATATTGAGGCAGAACAAGATCCCATACATATTACCCTATCATCTTTAACCGATTCTCCGATAAAAATTCTATAAAAACTGACCAAAATAAACTAGCTGTGACATTTTTAAGGGTTTAATTTTGATACATCCATGGCAGAACAGTTAAGACAACATGTGTATACTGTTAATATATATACAGAATCTGAAATGCTACATTTTCACAGGTAAGATATATTGTAATGACAGCATGAGCACACAGGTCATTTATATAAGTAATAACCTGTATTATAAAGCTCATTGAAATGTCTGGGCCACCAACCCTTTCAGAATAGTTATTACATTTTCAATCAGTTTCGACAGGTAATAAAGGCAACAGCAAATCAAAGCATAGAGACGCTGAGAACTCAAATACGTTTTCAAATGGAATGAAGAATTAATAAGCTTTCTTGACAAAAGTTAAAAGCCGCACCACCTGTCCGAGTTATGAGAAGCTGATTTATGGCTGTCCATAGTTATGGATAGGACAATGCAAACACATTCTAGGACTTTTCAAAATTTTTAGAGCAATGAAAAATAATATCTTTTTAATACGCAATTCACTCTAGTAAATATGTTTGCAACATGAAAAACAAGATATATATCACTTTCATTTAATAACTTCTCCCATTTATTACAAGTTCATTTGACAAATCAGAAAATCGACTCCTTCAAGATTTTTCTATGGCTCCAAAGTTTACAAGAGCGCATTTCTCTAAAATCATTCTGTGCCAGTAAAAAGTACTTTAAATCCCATAATCCATAATTACAGACCTATTTATCACATTATATGGTTTATATAATTAATGATAATCAGCCTTTTAAAAAAAATTACTGGTACCATCGTTGCCTACGGGCGTTCAATAATTATTGATCCAAACCAGCCAAGCGATCTGTGCATCTATACGCAGTATAGTTCTGCCACAGACAAGAAGGGATATATTCTGCATAACGACTATATTTGGCCTCAGCTAATATTCCCTACCAATGTCATAAAAAAATTGTGCAATTATGCAGAATTATTCCAACAGACCCTGGTCCCCAAAGGGTATTGATACGTTTGTAACACAAGCCGCAAGTACGACATCAAAGGATTTCTAGCCATGCATATTGTAATACTTTTTGGGAAAGGCCAATGTCGAAAATTCAAACTCTGCCATCTGGAAAATTCTGGCAATCATACTAGTCTTTGAAGAAGAGCTCCCTTTCATATTTGCGGAGTGTGGTGGTGTTGGTTTGCCCTGCAGGAGATTCCAGTATTTCATGACAGCATGCACTATATGCTCTGAGATGGATGCACTTAAATAATACTGGGGGATACTGAGCCAGCACCTTGGTATTAAACATCCAGTCCTGGCTTCCCAGCTTTAATTTATAAACAGATAATGAAGTCATATTGATGGGAATGCTCTGAATATTTTATCATAAAGCTGTAGTAATTTTTTTTTATTAGAGAGTGGAATAATTTTTCCAAGATGGCAGAATGAATACTTGTGTTTATGACACACAGAGAAATTCCACACAATAGTACTATAAATTTCAAGACAGAGCATAATAGAGTTTTCACAGTTGGATCAACAGTTATAACTAAGGAATTTGCAAAGCTTTAAAAATGTGTACTTCATCAAATTGATAGACATGTTGACATCTTGATATTATTGGTGATTTAATTTTTATAACGACATGTAATAATTGTACAACATAATTAAACTGATGTAAATACTGCAAGTGATATAACTTCGTAATAAACAAAATCTTCTACTGCCATGCATTCTTCACCAAATGGCAGCTATTAATAAATTTTCAGATGAATTTTCAACACGCATTTCCAGTAAAAATAACAATAACAAAATTAAAAAAACAAAAAATAAAGAAATACCTAATTTCAAGCATGAAAAATAAATTAACAGAAGTTATGCTACTAACAAATTTAAACTGATTTAAATTTACATTCACATTCTACGCTGCATTGGTGGATGGCATGAAAATACCTAGTGCACTAAATCTCCACACATCACTACTAAAACTTCAAAGGAGTTGGCTTTGTTTACTGAAGCCCAGTTGCCAACAGGGTGCCCACTTTAAAGCTCTGCCACAAAAAACCCAAAATAACTTGGAGGGACAACTGCTCAGAAGACTTGAAAAACATTGATTGCGGTTGTAATACATGTGAAACAGATTTAATTGTCTTTTATCTTGGGACTGAACTCTGTAATGTAAACATTTATCAAGAAAAACATCTCCTAGATCTTTTGACATGGGTGTGTGGAGGGATACTTTTGCAACAGTTTAAAAAGCAGGTTTGGCCAATAAAAATGTGGAAGTACATAGGAACAGCTGACACTCTCCCGGTAGTCTTGGAGGAGTAGTTCTGAGAATATCAGATGAGGTCCCTATATCGTAGTCTCTGGCTGCTAGCCACTCACTCCCCTCCAACAAACAGCAAGTAAAAACACATCTGTGGCCCACAACCCAAATCCCCTCCTATCCACCAGTAACACTCAAACGGCTCCGTGTTTACAATCTTCTCTCCCAAAACATGTTATAAGCAGCATGATACCCAGCATTTTAAAAAAATGTATCATAATTTAATCTTCCTCTCGCGTTTTGTTAGATTAAATTTTTTTCATGGTTTTCTTATCAATTTTTTGCTTTCAGACATATTTAAGACCTGATCAATCAGCTTATTATAATTACATGAATATGAAATTGAATTAATCAATAATAAACAGTAAACCCATTGGATATATTTGTAATGAGTTTGTACAAAGTAGTACCATAATGTGAGAATATACTAAATTGACCTGTGTTAATTTGAAACTTCAAGGTAGTGATAGCTACACTGTAACATGGTTAGACATCCTAATTAAGACAGCTCATTTTAAGTTTTGGGTAAATACCTCACCAAACCACAGTGTGGTTAAGTTAGAAACTTAACTGTCATAGGATACTATGATACATTTTCCAAATTCAAAGTGCTGCAGTATTTCATTGTAACTATAGAGACAAAGAGAATGATACCGATAAAAAAGAATTTTAAAACATAACCAAGCCTTATATTTAAAAAGGAATGTTGGGAAAATGAAAAAAAAACCTGCTAGAGATTCTGCCAAAAGAGAAACAAACTAAAAGTAAAGTCAATATCAAATAAATAAAATACAATCAACCACGTCTATGTGTTACCTAACACTCTCAAAAAAGGCTGCAATAGCTCTCGCCATGGAGCATCAGAATAAGGCAGTGTGTAGTTTTTCAAGGACCTGAGTTCAGGAACTTTCCTGTTGTGTTTGTGTTCTCTGGTGAAATACTTAATCCCAATGGCTCTTTAATAGCAAGTGGTGGGCCTCCCATTTGTTGTTCAGTGAAGTGGTCACTAGCTACTTCAAGGGAGATCCTGCCTCATAATGACCTTGACTAGTCATAAGGCAACAAGGAAGTATCCTTTCCAAAATTAGTTCCAAATTCAATGAATTGAAACTTGGACAAAGACATGTTGGATTTTACCCCTTTTACAAACATCTAGATAAAAACTATTGTACCAATTTCACTAACCTGATGCACAACGCAAGTGGAATGATCTATATGAATCAATGCCACATTTCAGTTTATAAAACCACAACCAGAACAGTTGGCTTATCAGTCATGTATATTTTAAATTTCAATACCTTTATCATCACCATACAATGAAGCTGACAGTCTGTATTCCATGACTTTTCAATTTCCTTTCAAAATTAATCCCCAGTGGAATAAATAATTCTGACAATTTTACCGGCTTTGGTGGCTTGTCATGGAGAATTTACCAAGGCAGAAAATTGAGACTTTGTCTACATTTGAAAAGCAGCAAGATTCTCTTACATCTTGTACTGCTTAGGTCAATGTGGGGATCTCAATGTAAATTTTCTTCCACAACAGATTCTTCAAGGTTTGTTGGGTGCCCACACAATTATGCTACACCTGCACACTGCTCTAAAGTGCACAAATGAAATATGGTAGCTATATTTTCTATCTCCTGTTTCTTTTGACTTAACTTGCTATTATTGTATCATATACTATATATATAAATATATACATTTTTTTCTTTTTTGTATATTGTAAGGTGAATTGTAAAGAACAAAATCTATGCAAAGAAACTGGGTTAAAGGTATGGTTATCGCCATTTGTTTTACTGCTCCTCAAGCTTACATCATGGTAACATAAAATTGTTGATTAAATCAATGCTTTAAAAATGCTGAATACTATTTATTTAGAGTACTATCATATCAATGGGATGGAGGGATGCCTTAGCATTAATGCTATTGCTTACTGTTGAAAAGTTTAATGTAAGATATCTGTGCATAAATTACCTAAGGTTTCCAATCACAGGATTACTGGAAGTTAGGTTTAATCCCTTGTTAACAAAAATAGCAGTACTAACCTTTAATTTCAATTTCACTTTCTTTTTTTGACAGAGATATTGCAATGAAACACTAGCAGTGAAAATTAACCTGGATAATGCCCTTCATTACTGGTTTCTTGGGGTATCATTTATGGGAAATTAGCGGCAGAATGTCGCAAATGGAGTTTTACTGAAGATGTGCAGTGTGTGTGAGATTTCATCTCTGAATTGCATTCTTCAAGATTTCGTTTGCAATTTGTCAAAATGAATCCCATTGTTGATATTTTGTTCAAATTCTTACATTCTGTGAGATTTCTCCGTTAGTAATCCAAGAGTTTGGTCTGAATTAGCAGTTTATGGGATTTCTTTAAAAGACTATCATACAAAAAAGCTGGCTAAAAACACTAACCTTCCGTGAGATTTCTTCCAGGGTTAAAGGCCCCTCTTGGTAGGTTTTCTGGATACAAATCACAGCTAGTCCGTTTTGAGATCTTACAGCCATACTGACTCTCTTCACTGAAAGTAAGAGAAAACATCTCTTCATAAAGGATTAAGGATAAAACTGATGCAAAACAATTAATTTGTCAGCTGACCATTACGTCAACTTGAAAACTCATCGATCTACTTTTGAGTGAAAATAAACAGGCAAATCTGTATAAAAAGCGACTATAATCATCTCTTTTAAGGATAGATGTAGTATCAATTGTTCACAATGCTCCCTTTTGCTGAGACTTTAGGTATGAGTTGATGCACTATAATCTGAAAATGGTTTTTACTGGTGACTTCCATTATAATATAAAAACTTGAAAAAAAAGAAAGGTAAAATTGTAAACAAAATATGAAATAAATGTCAAACCAGAGACAAAAATTTACTATCTGCAGCAATGAGAAAATATTTTCCTAAATACAAATAACTTTTTTTACCTGAATTCCATCGGAGGAAGATGACAGCAACTAAGCTTCTTTGTGATTGGTTGTTTCACATGAAATTTGTACAGGTTCTGCACTGTGATCTTATTGGTATTGAGAACTTGGAGATAGTTTTTGAACCTCCCTGCCAGTCTATCTGTGATCTGTGGAAATCAATTTTCAATTTACGGTAACACTGATCTTAACCTTTGATTTACAGACCCAAAATCCCAAGGAAGTGCTTTCAACAAGAAACCAAAGAATACTGTATAGAAACCTTAACAATAACCTTGAACTTTGACTTTCACATCTGAAAAGCAATAATGAGCATGTGCATCCAAGTCTATGTAAAATCTGACCAACACATGCCATGCAGTAACTCATTTTCTATTTATGGTAACAACAATCGTGACCTTCGACTTTTGAACATTAACCTTTTAGTATTTATAACTTCTGGCACATCTTCCTCGATACCTAGATATATATATATATATATATATATATATATATACAGTCATTAATTTCTATTCATCCACCTCCAACAAACTACATAAGAAAGTAAGGTCAGGATTGAAATCAATGTGGAACAATACTATTCCTACAATATATGAATGTTGTGTTATATACTACTTGGTCATTTTGAAGTTGTACATATAACTGAAATAGGTCTGTTTAAAGTACTGAATAAAGCTCTTCATTGTCCACTTACATAGTCCAACTTCTTCTGTGGGTTGAACTGTTCCTCTTCATATTTCAAGTTATCATAAATGGTCTGGAATAAAAATGAAAGAGTTATTAAATATTTTTGATTCAATCCTAAATACATACATTTAAGTAACAAGTTTCAATTGCTTACCTACATATAACATTCCTCTGTATTAAGTCTAGAAGTCTACATTATGTTTCCACAATATGACCAACAGTACTACTAGTATAACTCCACACTTAGAAGTCTACACAATGTTTCCACCATATGACCACCAGTACTACTAGTATAACTCCACACTTAGAAGTCTACACAATGTTTCCACCATATGACCACCAGTACTACTAGTATAACTCCACACTTAGAAGTCTACATAATGTTTCCACCATATGACCACCAGTACTACTAGTATAACTCCACACTTAGAAGTCTACACAATGTTTCCACCATATGACCACCAGTACTACTAGTATAACTCCACACTTAGAAGTCTACATAATGTTTCCACCATATGACCACCAGTACTACTAGTATAACTCCACACTTAGAAGTCTACACAATGTTTCCACCATATGACCACCAGTACTACTAGTATAACTCCACACTTAGAAGTCTACATAATGTTTCCACCATATGACCACCAGTACTACTAGTATAACTCCACACTTAGAAGTCTACACAATGTTTCCACCATATGACCACCCACCAGTACTACTAGTATACAGTACTACTAGTATAACTCCACACTTAGAAGTCTACACAATGTTTCCACCATATGACCACCAGTACTACTAGTATACAGTACTACTAGTATAACTCCACACTTAGAAGTCTACATAATGTTTCCACCATATGACCACCAGTACTACTAGTATACAGTACTACTAGTATAACTCCACACTTAGAAGTCTACACAATGTTTCCACCATATGACCACCAGTACTACTAGTATAACTCCACACTTAGAAGTCTACACAATGTTTCCACCATATGACCACCAGTACTACTAGTATAACTCCACACTTAGAAGTCTACATAATGTTTCCACCATATGACCACCAGTACTACTAGTATAACTCCACACTTAGAAGTCTACATAATGTTTCCACCATATGACCACCAGTACTACTAGTATAACTCCACACTACAAGAACATTTTCCCTACTTTTTATCTTGATCTTTAGCTATTTTCAAATTTTTCCTACCACATATAAACAATATTTTTGTTCTCCGAAGCATGTAGCATTTATATGTAATATGTAACATGGGGCCATCACTTTGTATTATGATCAGTATATGATACTTCTAAGTGTATTTCTTACTGGTAGTTGTATAAAAAAACAAAGAAATACAATCAATACAGACATGTCAATAAAATCCATACTCAACTCTGATAAAACTAAAGCAAAACATAAATGAAAAAAAAATTACATGGAGAGTCATGATGCACAAGAATAAGACCAGGTGTTCCAAAAGAATAGGTGTCTTCGGCTTCATTGATCACATCTGCCATGTATACCTTCAACAACTGTATATAAACCATGGCCTAGATCTAAGGGCATTATTACTTTGAACAATCTGTCCTAAAATGGTACATATTATGTTTGAGGTGCCAGTATTACAAAATACATTAGGTAGTGATCCTGATAACATTAAAAATTCCAGATGTTTGCATACTGCATGGTTGGTGATATTTGTGGTCAATTAAGTGCAAATTAAATACCAGATATTACAATGGAAATAAAAAGGTGTCAGAATATTCAGAGGCCAGATAAAACAGGTTTTATCATGAACATCAGAACAAAATGAAACTACAATATATGAAAATTAAACACACAGATTACATCCTGAATATTCATATTTTGAAAGAATTGGTTCACATTTGTTTTAGATGTCATATCCTGACAAATTATGTTCAAATTTATTCAAACAAAACAAAAAACAATCTATACAAAATGCTGAATTCTGATCCACGTTTACTAGATGATCGTAACAACAGATAAATCCTGTTTCGGGGTTTGCTTTTGTTATACATGGGGGTCGCATACTTAACCATCTTCTGTCATTTACATTAGAGGTTGCACACCATCAAAAACATGAAGATTTCAGGTGGATAACCATCCATCATCATTTCTATAAAACCTTCCATAATTTGCATTTAAATGAATCCAAAGACCCAGGTGTCATGAATAACAGATAAAAGGCCAAATGTTTAAATCAAGCCTGTCAAAATCTGATCGAGATCGGCCTTTTTATATATACAGCGTCGATGATTCTAACCCTAGGGCAAACAACCTTATCCTTTAATATTATAGGGACAAGATCGGTGGCCGGTCGCATTATACACCATGCGAGGCCTCAGGCTCCTAGGTTTTACCTTATTTAGCATACAAATGCCTCTTCATGTTTATACAAGCTGTCAGCAGAATAAAGCTACCTTTATTTCCGCTTAGCATCCCTCTATGATCTTAATAATATTCAATCCACAATGATATTAATATTTCATCCTTGTAGCAACTAGAATATTTGTGTCAAAATATGCAAGACTCCTTTGTATATGACTGTTTTCCACTTTTGCTCCCACCTCAAGCTCCCCATCCACTTTCATGAATCACTTTTATTTTTTAAGCTATGAGCTGGACTAAATTTCAACTCTAGTCTTACATGTACTTAACACATACAGGTACTAGACTAATCCTAACTCCTTAAACACCAGTCAGACTTCTTGTGTAACCTCATTCAAGCCCTTTATAATCATCCCCTTTTAGTGTTGACATACTGGTTCAATTTCCAGTCCATCCCAACCTCCTAGACCTTCAAGACAATCCCTTGTCCAATTTGGCCGTTTATTCTGTACAATACCTACACCTCCTCCACACTACATATTCCCCATGTGTGTGTAACCTTCTCAGTCTGTTCAGGGTGATTTCTAGTTCTTTCCCCACCTCCTCGGCTTGATCAACTTGACCATATACTTTATAATTTCTCAGATCCTTGTACAGTTTCTGGTACCAGCTCACCAACTAGGACAGTACACTAGAGCTAATGTGCTATACATTATTTAGTCAAGCCTGGTCTCTGACAATTTCTAAATGCTTGTACAGAAGTGAACTTGTGTTTCTAGCCACTTAAGGCCCCAGTTCTAGACCATTTCTTACTACCAGTATATGGTGTTTTCCCTCATACCCAGGAAATGTAATTGGGTACATATATATAATGTCGCAAACACACAGAGATATTCATTGCATTTCATACACCATTATATTAGTGTTTGCTAAGATCAAAATGAATTTAGTTTGACATTCTCTGGCAGTAATTAGTCATACCTTAATAAATATCAAATAAGAAAGGAACAAAAGAAGAGATAAGACAGTGATTTTTGCATGCTCTGAAAATGATTCAAACTGGCTGAATGGTAAAAAAATATATATATAGCTGAACAGCCCATGGCCAAATAGAACTGTCTGTGGAGAACACTTGTACTAGTCCCAATCACACTTTCCTACAATCCTACTTTCAAAGGATTGCATATGTACTCCCATGCATGTTCTAGACAATTTATTTTTTCATTATAAATATTTTTTTTCTATATTGCTTGTACACAGAATTGATTCCCCCACTTCTACCAAAATTTACCAAGACATCTGTAACATTACTGGGAGTAAATCAAAACAATTGTGTCCACATGATTATATAGAGAAAAATTATAGAGAGAAATTACATTTATCACAGAAAAATAACTAGGTTGGCAAATGTAGTATCATGAAGTGGTACGACTCTCTACCTAACATGTACACGTTACATTTATGTCTGACTCTCTACCTAACATGTACACGTTACATTTATGTCTGACTCTCTACCTAACATGTACACGTTACATTTATGTCTGACTCTCTACCTAACATGTACACGTTACATTTATGTCTGACTCTCTACCTAACATGTACACGCTACATTTATGTCTGACTCTCTACCTAACATGTACACGCTACATTTATGTCTGACTCTCTACCTAACATGTACACGTTACATTTATGTCTGACTCTCTACCTAACATGTACACGCTACATTTATGTCTGACTCTCTACCTAACATGTACACGTTACATTTATGTCTGACTCTCTACCTAACATGTACACGTTACATTTATGTCTGACTCTCTACCTAACATGTACACGTTACATTTATGTCTGACTCTCTACCTAACATGTACACGTTACATTTATGTCTGACTCTCTACCTAACATGTACACGTTACATTTATGTCTGACTCTCTACCTAACATGTACACGTTACATTTATGTCTGACTCTCTACCTAACATGTACACGTTACATTTATGTCTGACTCTCTACCTAACATGTACACGTTACATTTATGTCTGACTCTCTACCTAACATGTACACGTTACATTTATGTCGAACTTCAAACTAACACACTTTTTTATAAAGATTATCTCTCTATTAAAATGGAGATCATGGTGATTTCTCAACTGATTATATCAACATCTCTCAACCAATTTATACTGCCTTCCTTAGCTACACAGTGTAGTGATGAACACATGATAAAACTGCTAGAGAAATTTTCCCTTTCAAAACCAATGTCCCTGACATGTATCCTCAGTGTACAAACCGGAGATGTGACGATGTGACGCTAAGAAATATTATTCCGTTTGTCTAGCGAAGAGACTCATAACAACGATGATACAGGATGTTGGCCCTCATTCAGTTCCAAGTCAACGATCATAATTCAAATTATATTTATCATGTAAAATATCAAATAACAATTCATTGTGTTCATCAAAGAATAGCATTAGGCACTATACATTCTGTCTATAAACACACTCATTTGGTTGTAAAATTTTACAAGCAGCTCTATATCTATTTACCATAAAGAAAGATGATAAATTACTGAAACCTTGATTTAGTAACATAATTACCCGTCATTATGATGAATACATTTACATTTCCATTTTGAACTTTTGCTTTTTAATCTTTTTATCAAAAACTAATATATATTTTTTCATAATTTGTTCAATGTATATATTACACTTAGTATTTATTTATA